AAAATACTCCACAATGTACAGACATCTGTCATCATAATCATATCTTCAAGGTTGTAAAAGTAATATCGCAGAGATCTGTAAAAAATATACTTTCATTGTTAACTCAGAGGGAAAGAAGTATTCTTTTGTGTAGTAGTGGGATAGATTTACTTGGGGATATTGGGGGAGGGGGTTCAGTATCTGGGGTCCATAGTGATGATGCATCCTGGCCCTGCTTTATGACCAGCCCTGGTTTAGCAACCCTTGTACCACATCGGGTTACATGCATGTGGGAAAGTAGGTTGTTTCAACTAATAATTCCAGTTGCAATTGTTACCTACATCCCATATGAAATTTTGGTTTCCAATTTATACTTTAGTATACTGTGTACAATCATATACCAGATGTACATCATGATTCTTTATATCAGAAAGGAAACTTATAGTGATTTATAGCATGGCATACCTGAAGCACTGCAACAGCAGAACAGCTGCATGTGTACGAAACATTGTGAAGTTTAAAATTAATGTTTTTACAGTAATATTATGCAAATATGCAACAGTACCAGAGGCAAAAAAACTGATTCGAACTTCGAAGTATTAAAATGGATTATTTACAAATACTCAAATTCTTCCTTTAAAATTTTGCATGTACCTATATTGTAAACGAGTTGTGAACAGGCCGGCCATCATTTAAAAGACGAAAGCAGACACTTTTAATCAGTAAATATAGATGACCTCTTTGAATGAAATGGTCACTCCTGAGTCCGATACATGTGCATATTTACATAATAATAATTTAAATAACAGCCACTAAATACGATATTACACTTACCATGTTATCTTTCTTTATATTTGGCAATGTTTTGCTTCGTGACACAGCCAAAAATCCAGTAAAATTCTGTTATTTGTCTTCCCAAATTTTGGAAAATTTTTAAAACCAAGATGGCGGGGCAGGATTTTAGGGAAGGCCTGGTCGCTAAGTTTTGAGCGCTTTGCGCAAAAAATACGCGATTTTGTAAAAAATGTCCTCTTAATTGAATTGAATTGAATAAAAAAAATAGGTACGCGCTACGTACATGTGGGTAGCCTGTATTAATTGTTGTTAAGGGTCCTGCTACCAAAAGAATTTTAAAAAATTCAAAAAAAATTTTTTGGTCTTAAAATCATTATTAGTATGTGTAGATGTCTGTGAAAGCAAAAATAGGCCTGGTAGAACTTTGCTTTCTCACAAAATTTCATCTTTTTAAAAAGGTAGGCAACCATTTTTCACGTTGCCATGGAAACGGGTTAGTGTATTTTATTTGTTATGCCTTGTTTCTTGGTTGTTTGTGGGCGGTTTGAATTTTTTTTTGCTGATTATGTAAATCCACAACCTGAGGGACTGGTAACAAGTTAAGGCCTGGTCGCATAGCTATTCTAAACCACATTTTTCTTCACTGTTCGAAAACATTGCTATATAGAGCTGAAAACACATCAAAGATTCACACTTTGTTTGTATTTTATTTTATTTTGTTGCTTGTTGGTATCTGAAAATAGTCTCTTAGAAATTATATTTTGTTTGCAATGCCAAAAGTATAAAAAAGCGGCAATTTCGTGGCCAGAGTCGATGGGATGTTGACACATCAAATTCAAACAACAGCGTGTACACCAGTGCTTGCTTCTGTATGAAAGGTAACGAGTCAGAGTAATGAAAGAAGCGAAGATTTTGATGGGGCCACATAGCTATAGACTGATTGAGCTGTCAAATTTAGTCAGTGCGTTTCAGACTTTACATAAATACAGAACTCCATACATACAGAACTCCATCAACTTAATACCACTACATTAAAACAGAGGATTAGTAATTTTATTCCAAAATTAATGGTGACTAATGTGAGATCTTTGGCCCCTAAAATAGACGAAGTCCGCGAATTCATGATGGAAAATGAGATAAACTTATCCTTTCTAACTGAAACTTGGCTCAATGACTCAATTACAGATAGCGTTGTAAGTATACCTGGGTTTACAATCATACGCAAAGATAGATCTATAAACAACCATGGCGGAATCTGTATTTATATCAGAGACGGTGATACGAAACTCAAAATCCTTTCAGAAATTTCATGTTGTTCCGAACACGAAATCTTATGGCTTCATTTAAAACCTAGACGACTTCCTCGTGAATTTTCCTCAATCATAGTTGCCGTCCTATACCACCCCCCCCAGTGCCGACGATTTCAGCATGCAGAGTCACTTATTTCAGACACTGAGCGAAGTCGAAGCAAAATTTTACAACTGCGGTATTATCATTGCTGGGGATTTCAATCGTCTTAATGTGAATCATATAATTAAGCATTTTCGGTTGAAACAAATAGTTAAATCACCAACTCGAGGCGAAGCAATACTTGATCTTATATTAACTAATATGCACGAGTTCTACAAGTCTCCGCAAATACTCCCTCCAATTGGATTATCTGATCACAACACAGTTGTAGTTTCACCCACTCACATTGTGAAGAAAGCAAAATCTACATTTGTATACAAACGAGACCTTCGTCAGAGTAAGAAAGATGCCATGGGGAGATTTTTACAATCAATCCTTTGGCCTGAAATTTTTTCTCAATCACAAAGCTGTGAAGATATGGCGAATTTTATTTATGACATTGTAGCTATTGGTCTTGACCTCCTCATGCCAATTAAACGGATTAAGAAAATCTCTGCAGATGTTCCTTGGATGACCGATAAATTGAAAACATTTATAAAAAAAAGACAAGAAGCCTTTTTCAGTTACGGTCCAAAATCCAACTGCTTTAAATATTACCGAAATATTGTCAATCGCGAGAGAAAAGCGTGTAAATCAAAATACTATACGACCCAGGTTCACAGTAAAGAAAAAGATAACCCTAAAGCTTGGTGGAGTGAAATCAAACGCCTAGGAGGAATGGAATCAATGAACAGCTCCCTAATAAATTTGATAAATATCGCTGGTTTTGAAGATATATCGGAACAAGAACTAGCAAACAGAATAAATACAGCTTTTCTTGAACCCTTATCAGAATATCAACTATCTTCACCGTTAGAGCGACTTAACTTAGAGGAAAACCCAGATTTCTTAGAAGTTTCTGAAGAAAGGGTTTTATCACAGCTACAAAAACTCAACCCCAGTAAAAGTGGTGGCCCTGACGAAGTGCCCAATTGGCTCTTGCGAGAGTATGCTGTAATCCTTGCCCTCCCAATTAGTCTACTCCTAAATGCATCCTACAAACAACAACGCCTACCTGCAATATGGAAACTTGCGAATGTTTCACCGCTGCCAAAAGTAAAAATAGTACAGGACCTGAAAAAAGAACTTAGGCCCATTTCTTTAACACCTAATATTTCAAAGGTTGCAGAGCATTTCGTTGTTAATGATTATGTGAAACCAGCTGTTTTGAAGAAAATTGACCCCAATCAGTATGGAGCAATCCCTAAATCATCGACGATTTTTGCTCTTCTTAGTATGGTGCATAACTGGACCTCCGGGCTTAACGGTACCGGTTCTACAACTAGAATCATTCTATTCGATTACCAAAAAGCTTTTGATCTAATTGATCACAGAATTTTGTTCAATAAACTACTTCAGTTAGATCTACCACGAAGTGTTATAAATTGGATTATTGATTTCTTAAGTACCAGATTCCAAAGAGTCAAACTTTCACAAGGATGTTTTTCAGATTGGGGTGCAGTACCTTCGGGCGTCCCTCAAGGCACCATTTTAGGTCCATGGCTCTTTTTAATCCTGATAAATGATTTATCTATCACAGATACTGACCTATGGAAATACGTGGACGATACGACAGTATCGGAAACAGTTGACAAAAACCAACAGAGTAGAGCACAGACAATTGCTAATGAGATGTCACAATGGTCCCAAAACAATAAAATGAAGCTGAATGAAGAGAAATGTAAGGAACTCCGTATTTCCTTCTCAAAAGTCCCTCGTGATTTTAACCCGATACTTATTAACAACAAAAGTATTAGAGTTGTAAAATCCGTTAAACTTCTGGGTTTGTCATTCGATAATAACCTGACGTGGAATCTACATATCGAAGAGGTAGTTAAAAAAGTATCCAAACGAATCTATTACCTGATCCAACTCAAACGGGCCGGTATTCCTCGGAATGATCTGGTTCTATTTTATGTTACATGTATTCAATCTGTTATCGACTATGGTATCCCTGTCATTTACTATTCGTTGCCAAAATACTTGCGTTCCGAATTGGAAAGATTACAAAAAAGAGCTATTAGAATCATCTGTCCAAACATTAATTACGAAGACGCTTTAATTAGTTGTGGACTGGAGTCACTGTCTGTTCATCATGAAAATATTTGTACTAGTTTAATTTATTTCAAACAGTAGTTGCTGATGAAAATCATAAGTTACGAAGTTTACTGCCACCTACACATACTTCTTTTTATGATTTAAGAACCGATAGGAAATTTGAAATTCCTAGATGTAACACTAATCGCTTTCAAACTAGTTTTTTTGTGGCTTCGTGCCGCAAATCATTTATCTAATGCTATTGAAATGACCTAATATTTTTAATAATTTTAAATTTTTTAGTATATTAAAGTAATAAACATCTTGTATATATAATATTTATATGGAATGTCATCATAATGGCTTGATAAACTCTTTTTTATATTCTCGTAATTAGTTAAATTTACTTGTAAAAAAAATACGCAATTCAGCCTATGGCTGCGAAGTATTTTATTAAATCTATCTATCTATCTATCTATCTATCTATCTATCTATCTAAATTGGCATCTGGAGGAGAGTTGAGAGTATAAAATGAAGACGAGGCCCATAGATTGGGAATAGCTATGTGATCAATGTAGAGTGTTCCAAATGCGACGTCAAGGTCGAGCTTCAAACCTCTGGGAACAACAACCAAGCGTGGAAACCCCAAAATACCATGGACACAAACAGGAGTATGGTTTACTCAGGAATGGAGATGGGTAGGAAAAGAGGCTATGTCAGTTATGTGTGACATTTTCAATATGCCCCCCCCCCGGCCTTGCCATCATAAAGCTTGGGACCAACATGTTGCTGCACTGTATGTGGCCCACAAGAAAGCTGTTGTGGAACAGTCACAGAAAGCGAGAAACAAGTTGTTTTCACTTCATCGCTCTGATGAAACTGATGTCGCAGAGATTGCGGTGAGCTATGATGGTACGTGGTCCAAACGAGGATACACAGCTAATATCGGGGTTGGTTTTGTCATCTTGGTTAAAACTGGTGAAGTGCTTGATTTTCAATTTGAGTTGAAGCTGTGCTCAGAGTGTACATCAGCAAAGAAGGATCTTGGTGAAGATTCTGCTGAGTATGCCATTTGGTACGGTGGACGGTGGGTGATAATGAAGATGACTTTGATGATGAAAATGACTATCCGTTAGCCAGATTTGCTCATAGTGATGAGTCTAATCACACTGATGATGCACCATTGGCTCAATTTGCCAGTAGAAATCAGGAAAAGTGACTGTGACATTCTTGCAATGATAAGTGTTGACTTTGGACAGGTACATTGCACCCAAACATCAGAAAACACTAGCAACATTGTTTACTAACTTTAAATGGCGTTTTCCCAAAAACCGTACTTTGGCTAGTAGCCGTTACTTAAATCCTATCTTCTCAAAGAGTATTTAAGCAATCTTGCTGATTTTTTCTGAGATTGTTCTTTGGATGTTTCTGCACAAATTAATGGATGCTTTTTACACTCTGATCAAAATTGAATGTTCTACACCAAAATTGGTATTGATGAGTAAGATCCTTACCTAATACTTGTTGCCATGGCAACAAAATAGAGAGTTAGACAAAAAGCATCCATTATTTTGTTCACAAGGATGTAATCTATTACTCAACTTAAATTCATCAAGTATGGATGCTTAGATTTTGACTAGATAGATTTTAAATATAGAAAGTTAAAAATTCACTTCTCTGGTTTGCAAGGTTGTCATACATTTAAGTTTTTTCTTGGGAGGTCATCTGTGATAATATTTGTGTAGAGCATGTTATAAGCTTCAAAATGATATATGGCATGTTGCATATGCATTAAACCATAATAAGATAGAGCCGATGATGCATGATAGGTTCGCGAACAAATAATTCAGGTAGCAGGACCCCTTTGCTGGAGTAATACGCGCAACAAAATTGCTGCAACAAAGTTACTGGAACAAAATCTGATTTCAACGCATTTTAAGTAGAAATGTTGACAAAACATTTCAATTAACATGCGCAGAAATCAGATTTTGTTGCAAGTTGCAGCAATCAGTTGCCCATATTAGTATATTACTCCACCTTATTTGCTATTGTCAAATTCCGAATTTTTAATACTGAAAGAAAGTATTAAATAAATTGACACAGTTCAAATATGATACACACATTTAATCACATACTGAACATCAGATATGACAAAAATACGTAAAGACTGTTACGTGCATTTTTCAATAAGCATAAACAGATACAAGAAGTTAGAACGTATTTTAATGTGTCAAAAATAATTTGCACACTGAACAGACAAGAACAGTACAAGGTCTTTAATATGTATATGAAACAAGGTCTTTAATACAGACAGTACGAAAAACACTTAAGACAAGAACAGTTCTTGTTCAAGGACAGCATACATCAAAGACAAAGGATCTGGTTTACAGGCTGCATATATACAATTTTCGTGAAGTTTGAGTTTCAAGATAGTCCATGCAAAGATCTAAGCACGATGTTTTCCGGCGGAATTGAAAAAGATCAACATATCCTTCATTTAGTGATGATTGAATTAATTAAACAACGACATAATCGATCCCAATCCATATATATTGGTATGACATTCAACTTGCTTTCAATATTCGACAAATATATCCCAAAGACTTCGTGCGCTAATATTCCGCTGCCTAATCCTTGTGTAAACCGTGCTTGGCTTTCTATTCGCCTTAATTTACACATTCGACTAACCCGATTCCAATGACGTGGCCTTACAAACATTATGTAAGAAACGACATATTCGATTCTATATAATATACCTACATGTTCGACAACATTCCTTCGATATAGACTAAGGCCCGGTTTAGACGCCGTGCTTTTCATGAGCCGAACTTAATTCATATTTTACTCGAGTAAAATAGGCGTACTTCCAATTTTGATTTAGACAGGCGTGCTTTTCATGAGCCGTACTTAATAATTTGCGCTGCTTCACTTCGAAACCTGGGGCGAGTGACATTTCATAATAAGAAAAAAGGGTTTATCACATACAATCTTGGCATTTCTGAGCGTCTACAGGTTTGCGGTTATTAAAAATTTCAATTGCTTTTTGAAAAGCCTTATTACTACAAACATAGCATAATGTCTGGATATGTGTGGGAAAACGAGACCTATAGGCTTAGGGCGAGTTTTTCCATGTTATTCGAGTTCTCCCAAACTACTATAAGTGTTTCTATAACTGTATTGGTCACACATAATAAATGTATTATATTTATTTCATAATATAACTAAAAAAGAATTTGTAGTAGACTCGATATATTTACAAATTCTCATTACGTAATAATGCCGACCTTTGCTCCATCAATTTACTGCAAGAAACCCTTTTTGCCTTTATCAGCAAATATCGCTATAAGCCTAATTTCGCAACTTTTATGTAAAGAGTCTAACGAAAGGTGTATCTATAAAGAAAAGAAAGGGAAATTCTACCGCGATATTTGCCGATAAAGCGGTATTAAATCTATACAGAAAAAATAGAACAAATTACAGAAATACAAAACAAGCCAGAAGCGGAAGTGGGAAGATTTTTGTATTTTGACTGTATAAACAGTTTCTTAATTTGCATTAAAATTGTTTTGTTTACCATTGTAAGTTTAGGCGGGAAATTTCCCGTGTAGAAACACGCTTCTCGACCAATCAACGCACGCGTACTATAAATGTTCTATTTTATCATAATTTATGCATTTGGTACGGCTCATGTAAAGCACGGCAGTATAAATCAACATGTGCTTCAGCCGTATAGCACGCCTGAACAAGGCGAACTTATTAATTTAGCCGTGCTTAATATTAAGTCCAGTGCTTAATTGATTTAGACGCCGTGCTTCTCATGTGCTTAATTCATTGTATTAAGTTCGGCTCATGAAAAGCACGGCGTCTAAACCGGGCCTAACGTAAATATGTCCAATCGTCGCGCGCTATATCATTAATTACTATATTTTTCTAATACGTATAAAATATTTGACCAAACTGATATGTCGTGTTTAAATATGACATTACACGATATAAAACAGACCCCGTGCGCTAATATTAACCCCAATGACCCTTGTACAAGCAGTGATTATAAAAACGACATATTCGATTCTATATGCGTTGGAAATGACTATCGACCTGACAAAACATATTACAATAAAGACTTTACTCAGAATTTATACACATCTCTGTACAGTATGAGCGTTAGTGAACTTAGCCTGTGGTCGATAGACGGTTCGTATTTCAAGGATAAAAGGAATCGCGCAGCAGGACACCGCGGACACGAAAGCTACAGAGGCACAGAGCCACAGAGAAACGGAAGATCGCGCTTCAGTCTCTCACATAGTGGTTAGCTGCGCATGCGCGGCTACCCACAAAAACCATTCTCTGGAAAAGGCAAAATCCGTCGAGAAATTTCCCGAAGCTGCAACGGATTAAGTACGTCGCGGCTGAGGTAAAGGACGAGATACTAGAATGAATTAATTGCAATTTCATTGGGCATGTCCGGAAAAAATTTTGGACCCCTAAAATGGTACAATGTCCGAAAAATTTTTGGCGACGTGGGGGGGGGGGAGGTCGCCAAAAATAAATTGTTCCGAGAAAAATTTTTGGAGTCTATTTTTAGTGGAGCAAAGGGGCCCAAAGTGGCCCCAGCGGTTGCGTTACGCCACTGGCAACCGATCATCATACTGTAACAGTGCAGAATGCCCATGTTTATAACGTTATGTAACTTAAATTATGTAACGTAAATCAGCCGGCGTAGTGTAGGATTTTACAATTTATTGTAAAATAAATTGTAAAATCCTACACTACGCCGGTTGATTTACACAATCAACGTTTCTTCTATTACAACGGTACGGTGTCACAACTTTTGAATTACATTTGATAGGCAGCTTTGAACGAAGTTTGCACTACCAAACAAAACATTTTCTTAAGCGTCGCATAAGAGAGTAAAATGATTTAAAAGGCGACGCCCTCGAATACGCGCTGCGCAAAAATTTGGAAGAAAAACACTTTTCCCATGGTCATGGAAATACTACAATAATTGGGATTCAAACCTGGTTTTCCGATTAGTTCCGACTGTTTTACATCTCTCTGCAGCAAAAAGTGAGGAAGGAAGGAAAGGAAACCTCGCTCTTCAACAAAACCTCGCTCTTAAAAAAAGTACTAGGCCTATAAAACATTTTGACAGTCCCAAAACTTAGTTTGTACTAAACCCCAGGTATTGTTATTTTTCCTGAGCTTTTAGTCCTTGTTTTATTCCTTCTAAAACATGAAAAAATTAACTTTTTTAAATCGGATGTTATTTTCGTCATCGCATCTTTGTTGGGCGTTATATGAGCACTTTGAATGTGACAGCCAAGCTAGCCTTGATAATGCTTAATATTTAACTGTTAAGAGGAGATTTTATTGTATGTTACGTAACACGCGCTCAAAACTAATGCGTATAATATATCGCTTGAGGTTATGACTAAATTCAAAATTTCTATTTTTCGATACGTTTCTCAATCGGCAAAAAAACTTAAAAAGTATTTTTAGTGCTTTATTTGTAAAATAATGCTAAAATGAAGAGATTTTAGACGATACGCCAAAGAGAAAATGATGTCTGAAGTTCAGTAAGTTTTGCTTATATGGCTGTAAATATGGCGTCAATTTTAAAGCATCAATGCATCATTGATAATTGTATTTTAATTGACAATTTTTAACTATTATTTTATGTTTCTCAACCGGCAGATGCATTTAAAAACTAGAGAATAAAGCTAAAACAAAATAATTTTGAGAGGAACGCCAAAAAGATTTTAGGTTTTGAACACTTTTCATTGCAAATACGTGACATTCAAAAAATTGCCTCTTAAAAGTAAGGCGTTACCCTGGGTGCCAGAGGTTCTTCCACGCTCGTAGGGGGGATAACGAGGGATATACGAGGATTCAAGCTGGGAGGCGGCGAGCGGGAAGAACCTCTGGAACACTTCTATGGCTTTTACTGTTTTAACTGTCACATGTCAATTAAACGTTAGCCAATAGGACACGTATTTATTTTTGACTGATGATGATTTGGACGTGTTCAACCGAACGTTTGAGCGATGGAAATTGCGCCAGAATGTGTCAATTTCAAAACAAAAAATTAAAATTAGCGAGTCTTTATAGTAAAATAAACCGAATATTATATGGCCACATGGCATTAGACCGTACACCTGTTAAAAGTGTTACAAAAAAGCGGAGACGAGTATTGTCGAGTTTGTGGTGAATTTGTTATTCACAGTGGGTATTTTAGTATATAGGCTACAGTAAAAGGATCGTCGCCTCGGTAGATTGAACTTTGAAGCATTTCTTGTCCATCATATAATACAAACGAATATTTGCCGTCCAAGGCCTTGTTTATATGGAGGCGAGTTACTCTGCAATTGGCGAATAAAACTTATCTAATGATTCGTATGTATTTTTGAACAATATATTATATTTCAAATGCAAAGCACATACATTTATACACATACATTCGATCTCGGGCGGCCGACTTATTAATATGGTAACTATTCATCTCGCCGAAGGCAATATCTCGCCTCTTTCTGCCGGGAACTCGTCACTGGCGATTTTATACTCTTTACTACATGTAAACAGTCCCCCAGGTTTACTACGGTATAAATTTCTATAATATAGCCGGGATCTTGTCATTGACGAGTATAAACTCGACTTGCCGGGTAATTCGCCTCGATATAAATAGGCCTATAGACTCCCATCTTGTTTTGACATGCTTGATTACTAGACAGCCACGCACACGAAATTCCCTCTTGGCAATATAGCAAACATATCACGGCGATGCATTAACTGAAACGCAGAAACAAGGCATCATCTTGATGTTTATTGAGTTTTGTAACACCGTCCAGTAAAAAAATTCAAAATCGAATCAACCGCGACCGAGTTGTTGAAATCCTCTCGCAAGACTCGCAAAACTAGAGGCATATATATTTACGCCTGACTATGTTATAAATATAATATTATTATATTAAACAACAGCGTATGCCTGTACGGATTCTGAACGATAATATCTTGAAGGACATACGGTTCAAACAGCCAATGAAAGTCATTGTTTTAACAAGTCCCTGCCGTTAACCAATTAACACTATGATCCAGATTCTGGATCACTTCACACTATTAAGCATCGTGATTGGTGCGGTTCGATCTGAGAAACCATAGAAGTGTTCCAGAGGTTCTTCCCGCTCGGTGATCGCTAGATAGTATACTTCAAAATAGGGTTTCCGTTTTTATAACGTAGAAAAAACTATCCTAACGCAGAACTAAACCCTAACCCTAATACTAACCCTCACCCTAACCCCAACCTAACCCTAACCTAAACCCTAACCTAACTCTAACTTATTTTAATTATTTTAAAAATTAATAAAAAAACGGAAATCTTATTTTGAAGTATACTATCTAGCAATTGCCCTTCCCACTCGCCGCCTCCCAGCTTGAATCCTTGTGTATCCCTCATTATCCCCCCTACGAGAGTGGAAGAACCTCTGGCATAGTAAGGCCTGGGTATACTTGAAAATAAATTTGCAAATGTATCTAATATTTTTCTACATTATTTTTATCATAAAATCTCATGACTCAGAAAAACCAAACATTTTCGCGCGCTTTTTTGACAAATTTTGTTTTGGCTCTGTAATATTTTAACAGTTAAATGATGTTTGTTTATTGTAAGTACTTCAGTGTTTAACTGTCTTAGTATGCTCTAAAATGAAAAAGGAAAGGTGGAAAGGAAATTATAGGGATACAATTTATCGATATAAAAAGTGTATTTTTCAATTAAAATTGCAAAAAGTGACTGGCACTACCTATACAAAGCATGGCCTCAATCCCCCCCCCCCTGAGTTAGCCTTCCAGTTTACGTATAGTTCAATGGTTCCGAGTCGAGTAATTTTGCCGCCCTCAAATAAGCGCCGTTTTCGAAACACTAGGCCTAGAATTATTTCACTAGCGCCGCGGCCCGTAACGAGCAACAATGATTAGTAAAACTACAACCAGAAGAACGGTATAACTATTCCATATTTATACGAAACGTCATATTTTTGGATATAGGCCTATTTGTGATGAAGAGACCTTTAATGCGCGTCAAAGGATTTTATAATATGTTTGCCATGAACTGCCAAAACGTTATGAACTTACATTCCATAAATGCCAACAGCTACTGCAAAACCAATTGGTATCGGGGCAACGGGTACTTTATTTTTGCTGTCAACAGCCGTCATTTGGACAGTAAGGACGAGTAATGATGTGGCTAATATTTCTGCCAGTAATGCACTTCCAACTTTCACGTCCTTTCCCAGACCATGTGCGCCTCCATTAATCATCTCGTAAACCGCTTTGGTGAGTACAATCTATATATGAGAGATAAATTATAAGTTACCTGACTGTTTTGGGTTGTATATATATATATATATATATATATATATATATATATATAAATATCAAGAAATCATAAATCTTCAAAGTAAATAAATTATATTTTTACGTTTCGGGGACAAGCCCCTTCTTCAGAATAACGCTACATCATCTCCGTCTCTTGCTTAAATAGTCTAACGTTTAGTTATACATAAATTAATTAAACCTCTTCCCTTAAATTAAGCCCACGTGGGACATAACTATTAAGTTTCTCAATCCAAAAGCTCTCCCTCTCAGTGGGGTTATTAACGTCCGTGACGTCAATAACCTGCACTAAAAAATCACTTAGACCTGAATGTCCCTCCCCCCAATATATATATATATATATATATATATATATATATATATATATATATATATATATATATATATATATATATATATATATATATATATAACTATAAGAGGTTTAATTAATTTATGCATAGCTAAACGTTAGACTATTTAAGCAAGAGACGGAGATGATGTAGCGTTATTCTGAAGAAGGGGCTTGTCCCCGAAACGTAAAAATATAATTTATTTACTTTGAAGATTTATGATTTCTTGATATTTATAAATGAATATATATATATATATATATATATATATATATATATATATATATATATATATATATATATATATATATATATATATATAGCTTAAGTTTTTGGTTTACGAAACACAAACAGTGCTCAATACCATATAGATAGAGCGTAATATACTGAGTTTTTCGTTTTACCTCAAAAAACCACAACAGTCTGT